GATGTAAGTTCATCACCATTCCGTTTCTTCTGAAGCAATTCAGGGATACTTATAATGTCAGACATCCTTGTACTTAATGATTAAATCTTATCACAACCTGTAAAATACAAACAATGACATATTGGGAGAAATTTTAAAAGGTTTGAAATTTCAAATTATTTGAGCATGGAAAAAAAGTAAGAAGAAAAAACACCTAAAAGTTACAGTTAATCCAAGAAACAACTCAAAATAAAGTGACTGAAGAAGCTTGACCTCTCATCTACTTTGTGAGATTTCTGATTCTCACATTGTGCAACAACCCAAAAGACAGCTACCTTCCCATCTATAATACTTTGTTTCTATTTAATTCTTATTTTCTTATTCCAGTTAACTTAATTTATCAAGAAGCACAAATCTCAATTTTAAGGATGATCAAATCATACTTTAGTTATCAAACTGTAAAATCAAAAAACCTTTTTATAAGAATATAATTAAGGACATTAATTCAGACTAAATGTACTATAAAACAGAATATAACAGAACAGAATATTGTAGAATAGAATAATATAACAAAATACAAAACCTTACTGTTGTGCAGGATCAAAGATAAAACTGCTGAAACTGACAGAAACACACTGCAAATAACTTTATGATGTAATCCGTAACAGCAATAAATATGGGAGTGTTTCCTTCTCAGTGATAAGATAAAACAAGTGACAAGATGGGTTATCTGTAAGCAAGTAGAGACCTCCAACTCTATGATTCATCTTTCACAATTCACTAAATTTTCAAGCACACATGTGTGCTCAGTAAGTATCAATTTAAAATACAAAATTTCTGCCAGTAAACAAATCATATACTTACTTCATGGAGCTGAGTTCTTCCTGAGAAGCCAACAGTCATTCAGCAACCAAAAAAATTTCCACATTATATGGAACCTGAAAGATAATTGCTGTGTTCACAAGAGCCTGCTATTGGTACTTATCCTGAACCAAATGAAATCAGTCCATACCACACCATCCTATTTCTCTAAAATCCATTTTAATATTATCCTCCCAACTTCATCTAGGTTTTTCTAGTTGTCTCTTTCCTTCTGGTTTGCCCAACAAAACCCTGTATTCACTCCTTTCCACTCCCATGTGGACTACATGCCATGCCCATCTTATCCTTCTTGACTATATCAGTCTAATTATACTTGGCAAGGAGTACATCTTGTGCCATCTATGTACTCATCACCATGAGGACCTCAAATCCTAATTATACTATAATATATGATAAAATTATATATTTTAGAATTCAGAATGTTTAACTAAAATATGCAACTTTTATATACATTTTAGTTAAACATTCTGAATAATTAGGATTTGAGGTTCTCATGGTGGTGAATAAAAAGATGGCTGTCTTCTGGGTTTTAGCGCTGTGTAGTCTGGCAGACGAGACCAGACCAGACTACAAAGAGATACAACCCAAAGACAGCCATCTTAATTCTTAATAATGCAGGATACCACTACTAAATTATCCTTCCTGCATACTCCAAAATTCAATAATTTTGATTTCCTAAATTTTATTTATATTTGGGCATTACAGAGAATAATGAAAATAAAAATTTCAAAACCATAATAAATATGGAAAACCACCTACTGTGTTAGTTTTGACATGTACGTCCACATTTAATATGATCAAAACTATGAGACTGATGTTGATCAAAATGTATACAGTAGACTCAGAGTACATTTTATCATACCATTTTGGTTTAGGTTTAGCTTGTGTTATTTTTAAAATGAAGTAATTCCTGAGTCTTTTAATAGATGTTCATAAGATGTAATATGTGATACTAACATTATACACATTACCATATAAATTTTTGCTTACTTTAATCCATTTTGAGAGTCACTTTACATATGTACCTAATTTATCTATTATACAGCTATTTGTATTTCTCTGAGAGATTTACTTGAAATAAATTTTACCTTCCTTTTATTCAACATGACCTTTGAGAACTCCATGGTCTATATTAGAAAACATGTAAGAAAAGAAGAATGTTCATGGAGCGAATAGTGAGAATGAGAGTTAGTTAAGTCAAATTTTAAGGGATGCACCCTGGTGTGTGTTGAATGTCAGGTTGCTAGTCCGTCTGCTGTCATCATTTAAGTCTATCCACTCTCGACTTAAATTTACTATGAAAAAAGAACATACACCATCAGTTTTCTAGATCTAACCATCAAGAAGAATAACAGAAAACTTTAACACAATATCTTTAGGAAACCAACCACAATTGACATTATCATCCTCAATAACTAATGCCACCCTCAAGACCATAAAAGAGATACTACAAACTATATATGTTAAACAGAGCATATACATATTCATCATCCATAAATAACAAAGAAATGGAAATGGAAACCATCAAAACCATTCTTCACAACAATGATTATCCCCCATACCATATAAAATATCTCCTCTAACTTAATATGATCAAAGAATTCTTCAAACCCAGACAGACATAAAAAATGGGCTACATTTATTTATATTGGACATCAGAACAGAAAACTCACAAACCTCTTCAAAAACGTAGGAATCGATATTAGTTTCATACTGTCGAACACTATATATAGACACTTAAAACAACAAACATAACAAAAGAGGAATTTACCAGCTAACTTGCCAAGACTGCCATTAATATTATATAGGGAAAACAAGCAGAAATTTAGAAATCAGATTCAAGGACTATAACATGAATATAAAAGCTAACAAACCTAACACAGAATTTTCTCAACATATTCTACAAAATGGACCCTCATATGGCACCTTGGAAGATACAATGAAAAATCTCAAAGGACAAAAAAGGCAGTTACATGAACATACCAGAAAAATTCCACATACACAGTAGCATTAAAATGGCATTCATTTAAACCAAACAAACCCAGACAGCAACAACCCCACTTTTGAAATCCTGACAGACTACAATAATACCTAACATCATTCTCTCCATCCACCATCATTAAATATCTTACCAACCCTACTCCATCCCCATCCACCTAGATCTACCCTTCCACATCAACCATCAACATCACCATAAACTACAGTTTTCCACTGGTCACTACACCTACATAGTCCACTTTATTAAAACAGGTAATCCACTTACGACACAGTCCATAACATGGTAAAGTCAACAACAGAAAATGTATATACAAATTAGCAGTCACATCTATTAGTTTCAAACACTTAAAGAGAATCACCTGAAGATGACCAATTAAGGTCTAAAAATGTAGTGTATTCTTAATAAACAGTGAAACTATAACCAAGAATTGTTTTGTTGATGGACTGTCAACCTCATGTTAACAAGTCACTCAAGGAATAATGTAAAGCTGGCATCTCAACAAACGCTTGAATTAGACACACCACTGAAGACGAAGAACAGATACTCCCTACAAGTACATGTATTAAGGCATATATTAAGTAACTTAATCAACTTTATAATGAGCAGTGACAAAAGAGTATATGTGGACGTTGTCCTGAGACCTTTCATTTCAGTCCTTCAAAGTCTCATCTTAGACTTCCTATTGTTCACTTTCCAAAAAAATTACTCTAAACCTGCATGCATTTTTGTACCTTTCACCCCAACTTGAACTAAGTGTTCAGTCCACTATAACCTCTTGCACTCAGCTATTACAGGAACTAAAGAAAAATACATAAAATATACAAAGTACCCACTCCCACGCTTGACAGCTATCTCCTATGTATTGCCGTTCAGAGTATCTTTGCTGGTGGCGATCTGCAAAAATGAAGGGTGGCGTACACTGATTAGCTGTATTCGGAAGGCAAAAGATGCCACCAGCGAAATTCCACGTCACTAACTGTGTTGACATTCCAAAGTGTAAATGATGCGGCAGGACAATTGAGAACACGAGTCACGTAGTCATCGCCTCTCCGCCCTCAGATGCAGAAAAACTGATGACAATGGTAGCTCCATCACCTGCAAATGGTACTCCTATAATGTAAATATAAAGCTGTCCCACTTTACGCCACGTAGGCACATGAGGGTATGAGAATTGTAGCTCCTATTCATTCTTAACAGGACAGTTGATACGATATTGCGTTTACACAATTTTACCTCAAAATCAGCAATCAATTATGGCAGTGAAATATGGATTTTAAACAAAATCTATGCTCGAAAACTTGAGGCAACACAAATGCGCTTTTTGAGACCACTATTAGGTTTTACCAGGTTGGACCATCAGAGGAATACTGTTATCATAGAAAAACTTCAGGTTATAAATATGGTTGAAGAAATACAAAGATATCAACAAAATTGGAAAGACGATTTGCAACGCATGGACAGAAATTGGCATTGCGTTACCAACCACGAGGATGTAGATACCTGGGACGACCAAAGCGTCGACGGAAGGATTGGAAACATCTATCTTGGGATTCATACGAACAGGCCATACGACCTAAACCCCAAAAAAGTTCATGGTCATTCTTAAGATCGGCACTAGGTGGGGGCGTGTGGTTAGCGTCACGCCCAGACTCCGATAATGAACTGGGAGAAATACAACTTATATAACTAATCCCATGGCACAAGGTCATGCGAGGCTTCGGGTCTCCATACACTGCGTTCCAGTTGACTCGCTCTTGCTAAATCATAAACCCATACTGTTAGATTCATAAAAGCCGTAATAAATCGTATTGTACTCGGCAAACAACGTAGTATGTAGGTGACGTCACAGCTGTAAGAAATTGATACCGATTCTACATAAGTGAATTCGTATTTGACTACGGACGATCTGAAATACTATACAGACCTAAAACCTGAGGTGTAGGCTTCCACCGCGGCCGTACGATACGCTGTAGTGGTCGCTGGTACCTGCCAAAAAATTAGACTCTTGATATTCTTCGTTACAGTTTTCTAAAACTGCTCTTTAAAACGACGAGTTTTGGTCCATATATTAGCAGTCTTACCCGTGTCTGGAAACCTGTTGAAAAAGAATGCAGTGTATGGGGACCCTCAGGTAAAACAACTTGTTATGTACACCATCTTTTTGAGCAGTAGATGTTGATCAAGAAATATCTTTTTCTTTCAGGTAATCTAACCAATCAACACTGTATTCACAAATGCCTGTCACTGGACCTAGTATACTGATTCATTCAATCCATATCTTTCTGCATTCTATTTTAACATTTATCTGTTGAACTATTGAATCAATGAGGTCATTCTGGATGTCATTACATGTGCCAATAAAAACTGTTTTGTTTTAATTATACTTGTTAAATTTTAATTCTAAGAGACACATTCTAAAACTTTAAAGTAGTATATACAATGAAGAACCTTCTTTCTTTTCAACCACTTTCCATTAGAAAACAGACAACTGTTATTGTAACATGTTCTATTAAAAATCTTTATGTTTTAATGCATTAAATGGGTAAAGGTTTGGTTCCTTCAAGAGTTCTTGGAAACCAGGTAACTAGAACACAGGAGTGGATCTTTGATGAACAGGTTGTAATGAAGGGGCTCAGAATTATGCCAAAGTAAAGATTTCCATATCAGTGTCATTGAATACTCAGGATCTGTTAATAGGGAGACTTACCCCTCCCCAAATGTGTCCCATATATAGCAGCTAAAAATTGGCAGTCATAATCATGAATAGAATTAAATTGTTAGCAGTTTGTAATAATTCTGTCTATTATTTTTTTCAGGTGTGAAACTTGTTTCTTGGATTAAAGTTGTTTGAGAACAGAGAGGAGGAGGAGAATATATGGATCTAAGAGGGAAGAAGTGACAGGGGGTTGGAAGAAAGTACCTAATGAGCAGCATCATTTTTGAACATCACTAAACACTATTATGAGAGTCAAATCAAAGAAGGATGAGACTGGTGGAGCATGTAGCACATATGGGAGAGATAAATGCATACAAAGTTTTGGTCAGAAAACCTGATAAAAAGAAACAATTTGTAAGTCCTACATGTTTTATGCTATTTTCATGACTGTTATGTTTGTGCCAATTAATTACTTACAAATATTACTTTCATGTTTCTGGAAGTTACTGGTTGACTACGGCCTGAAATAATGTCAGTATTTGAAAGCTGCATAATGAATACATATAACTTTACTTGCATATTATATGATCTTTTTCTCACATAAAATTAGCATTATTGAATTAGGTTTGATTTTCCATTCAATGTAGAACAGACCTAATGCCAAATGTACATAAGGATACCATATACAGTATATCACCTTCATGACAAGAAGATGAAGACTGAAAGATAACAATTTAAACATCAATGAATGAGTGCTAGATAATGAATCTTCTAAATGTTAATGCTGAAACAACCACTGTATTAGCAACACAGCATGTGTTTCATACCATGCTGTAACAATATATTACTACACAACACAATTGGATGACTTCTGCTTTAGTAAACTCATTTGAAATATCCTCCCATTAACCTTCATTAAAATTCTTGTACCTTTTCAAGAATGTGGACTTCTGGGTTATGACATCATGTCAACTTGTAGGTGGTCAACAATGTTTCTGAGCAAATTTTCACCATAATTTTCAGGGTAGAAGATAGCCACTTCGTCCATTAAGATGGAAGTGACGTTATTCCAAAACATTAGTAACCACCTATGTGACTACACCACATCATAAACTCAGAAGACCACAATCCAAATTTTCACTACTGTGAAGCCACAATACTTCTGTTCACAATGACAGAAACAATTTTGCTTTCACAACATAGTTCTAGTAGTTATTCTCAATATGGGAAAATGTTAATGTGTGATATATGATGTCATCTGGGAAGGACATTTAATAAAACATAGGAACATTTATGCAGTCATAATGATGTACAATTGCTTTAAAAGGTGCAGGATATGTAACAAACCTAAATATGGTTTACCAATTAGATCAGTAGTTAAATTAAATTAAATCCGTGGCGTAACAGCTCCAGAGAGCCAAAGCCGACTAGCTTGACTGCTGGCCTCATGTTCACATGCCTAAGCAGAGGTGAACGATCATCCAACCAGATATAGGGTGACGTGTGGTCAGCACGATGAATCCCCAGTCATTGCTAGCTTTCCTGACTGTATTACGCTACTCATTGTAGCTCCCCAATTTCCTCACGATGCTGAGTTGGCACCAGTCCCATACACTGGTCGAAATCTCATGAGAAAATTTCTTCTCCCCCGAGACCTGAACCAGTGCGCATTCCATATCACCGGTCCGAAGCATGATGCCTCAGACCGCGCGGCTATGGCGCGGGACTAGATCAGTGGTTCTAAAGCAACAATTTTCTGTGGCTTCATTCAGTTTTAAGAAATATTTTACTCTGCATGTTCCAAAATATTTTAACAATACCATCATTCAGGGCATGCAGATAAAGAAAATCTGAAGTTTGGAATTAAACTTCAAAATTCCTTAATCCTGGTTACATCTGGCATTTAGTATATTAATGAAAAAAGCACAAGACCATACTTTAAAATCACTAGCATAGACATTATGAATATTGTATTTAAATAAATGGAAAGGGAAATATTAAATGATTTTCATCCAGTTTGTTAGATTATAAGGTATAATTTTACTTTAAAGATAAGATGTTTCAATACCTCCTCTACTGAGGAACAAATTTTCATTATTGATTAAAACCAAGTGTCCATTTAAATTATGTTTGAAGAGTAAACCACACAGTACTAAAAATCTTACCTCTACTTAACCGTTTCCACGCTACATATGAGATGACTTGTTTAGAAGCATTTGATCTTCTGGTATGGATTAATTCAGTGTTTGAGATCAGTAGGAAAAATGTGTTGTTAGATGATAAATATATTAATACTAACAGAAGAACATTTTGCACAATGAAATCCCACATGGAAAGGGTTACTGACACATTTTTGGAGATTATATAATTATCTTTAATTCTTTTGTGCAGAGACTGTATGTGAATTAGAATAGCAGCAGTCTTCTTGTGCCACTCACAATTTCTTGTCAGGAGCTAAGCCTCACCATCCTTCTTACTCCACTGAAACAGACAGTCAGAAACTAAAATGATAGGAAAATAGTCCTAATATTTAGTATTTAAAACATACTTAGTTCTGATGTTACTTAGCAAACACTGATCAGAAATGATACTTCACTATTATTGCAATAGACATCAGAAATGGGAAATTAATAACAAACTGTCATTGTTTCTACAAAATATGCATTCAGTTTCAAAATTTGTGATACAAAGTATGAATTAGATACTTGAACACACTAGTTCTCTGCAACATAACTTATATGAAACATACCTTTCTCAGCAGACACTAGAACTTTTATCTGAAGAATGGCTGACTTAAAAAGTTCATGTCATTATTGCATTTATACTCATTAGCAGACGTTTGTCCCCCAGAAACAGGTCAATACAAATATTGTACACCTGTTTATGATCTTCCATTATAACAACTATAAAGATCATCATTAAAATGGTTCATCAGTTACTGGTATGGTTAAACTAGCCTATCAACTTTGACACTAATTATGTGATTACAAAACACAAATGGTGCAGTGAACAGCCTTTGTTACACATGACACTACTGTATAGCATCTCCATCTCAAGAGCTTGTAAGGCCAAACTTAAGAATCACACCTTAGGTGCAAACTAAAAATAAATAAATGCTGATGAATATGCTGCAAGATTTGCATCATCAGTATAAAATATTCCTAACTTGTATTCAGGAGGCCCAATGTCCAAATTTTGGTTCAAAGACCAGCTAATCTTACTTATTTTTATCATCTGTTTCCTCAGTCTCTCCAGGCAAATTTCAGGATAATACATTAAATTAGGCCATGACTGCTTCCTTCCCCATTGTTTGCAATTCATTACTCACTTATCATCCTAACATTTGATGTGATACAGTCTGAGCTATTAACAGTGTTATTAAATACATAAATAACAGACACATGAATATCAGAAGTAATAAGATATGCAAAATTTCAAAGAAGAATTTCAAACATGTCAGATGACAGAATGATGAATAAATAATGAATGGAAAGGATATGGGAGGAAGTAGTTGCAGTCTAATTTAAGTTACCACATTTGCCTGGAGGGACTGAGGGAAACCATAAACATCTCAGTCAGGATAGCTGGTCTCTAGGCCAATATTTTAACCCAGGACATACAAAATAAAAATACAGGTATTGGTAACCACTTGGCTGTGATATTTGATTATATTTGACCAGTTATGCCATTTCTCTACTGTGGAACCATCGTGACAGAGATTTATAACAGCAGAATTTAAGTCAATATTTAGAAAAGACTTGCTTGATGTTATAAATGACCTGTGTAATGTTAACTAATGTGTTAGTCTAGGAACATTATGGCTGGTGCAATTTAGCCAGGATCAGAAAATAATAGTGTCGAAGCAGAAGAAATAATGAAGCCCATCTCCAGAATGAGGCTACAGACAATTTAAATATGATGAAGGCAATGGAGAATATATTGTGCTGCTCATTGCTACCATCAGCATGTGTATCCTGGCATCTCACATTTTGGTAAGCAATGTAAAATTCTGTCTGTTCTTTATAATTTTTTGAACAGTTTAATGGCAGCAAGACTGTATGTTTAGAAGAAAGAGCTGTAACCAGCCATTCCTTTTTGGTTTGATTAACTTACATGTATAGTTCTACAATTCACATTCACTTTCCGAGCTGCTATTCTTCGAGCTCACCTTGGGTAGTTTCTCATACTGCAGAGTGCTAAGCGAGGTGCCCACATTCTCATAGATAGGCTCCAACGAGTTATTGATTACTGTTCCTGATAATGAGAAATGTTACTTCTATGAATAAATTATGTAATAATTGTCTATACATATTACATAGCAACAGTATTTTCACCACTGTCCCCCAAATTTTATAATCTCTAATGGATATGGTGAGTAAAATATGACTACAGTATATAGAAAGAACTTGACACCTCTAGGAAGATGGCTGTCTTCTGGGATGTTGCACTGCGTCATCTGGTAGAAGGTTACTGATGTTTAAGAGGTATATGCTGCCTCCAACATCAGGGTGATGAGTAAATGCAACAACCCAGAAGACCACCATCTTCATACTCACCGCCATCAGAACCTGACACCCATATGATATGAAATAAGTTATTTGTTCATTTTCAGCCAAAAACATAACAATATTTCGTTCATTCTAAAAATATACATCTGGGCTCACCTTGATTTACAATTGTTGGATCTTCTATTGCATCTTTAATGCACCTGTAGATGTATGTGTACTGGCCCTGTAAACAGTAATAGCAGTTCAGATCCCAAACATGTAACTTTTAGGCACATACTATTCCCAGCAAAAATATGATTATAAGTAAAGAAATAGTAAAAGGAAACACATATTTACTTTCAGTAATTGAACTTGGAGAAAATGAAGGTGAATGAACAAATTTTTAATTTCTTAATGGAAACTGAATGTAACAAAATCCATTCAAATAATTAGACACATCTAAACATAACATTTACTCCAATGTTTTGGGAACTGTCTCCATCAGAGACAAATGTAACACTGCCACAAACAAACTGATCTACGAGTATATGTTAGATTAACACAGCCCTATCCCGATTTACCAAGAAGTAGTGGTTAGAGTCAAATGGTCACTCATGAAACAGCCAGCCCAGCTCCCTGATGGTCATGGTTCCAAAAATGTTGGTTTCTTTTGACCTCAATGTGGCTGATGGCCTAGTGGATTTGATGAAATGCAATGTGTAGATAACATTTCTTTGGTGCCCAAAAAAAAGGCTTTTTACTACTGGCCCTTCCCAACCCATGGTTCTGATTTGCCACTCTCACTGGCCTGGTCCATCTCCTAGTCCTCTCCCTGCATCATCCACATCCTACTCTTCTTCATTCCAGTAAGATGGAGGCAGTACATAACATTGGTCTACAGCCAAAAGACTATATGATGCAACATACTCTATACTCACATCACCATGTAAACCTCAAATCCTACATTTCTAGCATCATTTCAGTGTTCACATCACATTCTCACAAAGTTTCCTCACCAACTATATCACATTATTCATGAACTTATACTCACCTCAGTTTGTACCATATTTGTGCGTTGTTTACGTAATTTGAACACAGTACCAAATATATCCACCTTTTTGTTCTCACAAATATGTTGCAACAAAATATCAACAGCGATAAGTGTTCCAGTTCTTCCAACTCCAGCACTGAAGCAAAAAATAAATAAATAAATAAATAAATAAACAACCTGTAAGTTAGCACACTAACATGAACAATAAACTGTAAAAAGTTCTAAGGAAACAGGAATGTATACAAATTGTTTCAAGCCTAATTTGAGAATCTGTTACAAAAATTAAACAACAACAACAACTTGAAACAGGACGTGCCTGCAGTGGACAAGAATGAGACCCAGTTCAGCTGCACATGCATGGTGTCTCATGGTCTGACAAAACTGGATCATTATGTCTGTGCTCTGTGGAACACCAAAGTCTGGCCACTCTCTGAAGTGTAGATGTGATAATGTTCTCTTCCTATCACCCTAAAGAATAAAAATAAACTAAAATACAACCACATAATTCACTACAAATAATAAGTTCTAAATAATAAATTTGCGTAATAAACTGACTAACGACATCAAGAGAATTCATCAGCCCTTCTAATATTCTCTTATAAATTAAAAGTGTATGTACTCCCACAGTACCTTTATCAGGACAAGTGTTCGAGCTGTGTGAATGGTGAATTTAATCTCTGTAGTACAGCGTATGGTCATATCCCCAAAAACTACACTTTCACGAAGATTTGGATAATACTGATGACACTTCACCTGGAATAAAAAGTATGAGCTGTGCAGAGAAAACATTTAGCACATTTTGAAGTTAAAACAGCAATAATAATCACACATACACATACAAGACCATTGGTAAGTAGACTACTGTAAAATCTGGTGCAGACTATGCAAGAATTGCATGCCTATTTTGTAAACATTATACAACACAAGATGGAACTATGTGCTCAAAATTAGATGCAGAAGTGGGTGTAAATATTTCAAGTAGTTATGCCATCTCTTTGCATTAAATGCAATAGAAAATCAGGGTCTTGAGAACCACATAGTTTCATAACCCAGAACCATAACAACGACATTTTCATGGTCATGAAAACCTCAAATCTCAGATTACAATTTTTATTCTTAATGACCTAAAAAATAAATCAAAGACAAGTTATACATTCATATTCACTTCTAGGGTCAAAATGACATTATTTATTATCATACTGATTTATTCATACTAAGTGACATCTGTGCTTGTTACATTTGACTTCTCAGAAAAGACAGAAGCTGTACTTTGTTTCTACAGATCATACCACAATAAAAAATTTTATATGTACTCACTTTGTCTTGTTCTATAAGATTTGTGACCATAACAATAACACGAACATCATGTTGAAAAACCATACGCCAGAAATCCACACATGTATCCTCCTTTGGTCCTTGAGTTGCTATATACTCAATATCATTGCTGTAACCCTGGAAGATCACTAATGCACATTAATGAACAACTTTACCTGTGATCATGAATAAATTAAATGCAGACAGCCAGTGTGGTATAGGTGGTATAATGTCTCTACTACCTGAACATCAAATTCACATTAATACAGAGCATCCTGTTTTCACAAACAAGGCTCTGGAAACCAAAATCATGATGGTATAATATAACCATTAAATCTCTTGAAGATAAAATGCCTGACACTACCCAATATCATCTGAGCAAGTCACAGTATTATGAACATCATATGTGGCATGAAAGAAATGTCAATATCAAATTTGGTTCAGTTAGTCTAAGGGTAATTTTGTATTTTTCTATGCATAAAATGCATAACATGAACAGATAATAAAACACAATTTGTGCCTATCTGCAGTTTCAATGTAGAAAAATATTTAACAAACATCAATAAAATTTTATATTACAAATCAACACCAAAATCTGCTAAAAAAAATTATCGTAAACCATGCTGCAGTAATTTAACTTTACAACACTTCTAAGAAAAGTCTCATAATAAGAAAAACCAATATTCATCATAAGTAAAAAATTAGACCTCATTAATAGGCCTATACAGACTAACTTTCATTTGAAAAATGTTAATACGGTGCATATTTGACAAAATACAATGCAAGAAGAATGAACTACAGGTGATTTTGCTAGTACTGCATGAGAGCAAAGCTGCAGTTACCCCTGCATGCTTTAAACACTTCTACAATTCATATATTATAATTTCTTTCACTTCTCAAAGCTATGTTTGGTGAGTACCTGACCTCACAGCATGGCACGTCTTCAGGTTTCAGCTAGAGGAACAGCCTCCAGTTATGGAGATCAGCTGAGAATATATTGAATAAGCAGTCGCAGACAGCGTGAGGCTAACAACCTCCACCGTAAAAAACAGCATTGTTATGAACAAATTAACTAAGCCTCGGACCAGGACAGACTCTTTGGCATGACCATGGCAATTGAAAAATGATATGAGATTTGGAAACTGGAATATTAGGAGTCTCTATACAGTTGGGGTATTGAAATCAGTGATTAGGGAATTAGAGAATTATATGCTAGATTTAGTGGCAGTGCAGAAGGTGCGATGGGAGGGGGACATCATGATCCCGTTGGAGAATTTCATGTTTTTCTATGGAAGTGGGAATGACAATCCTCAGTTATGGTATCTTTGTTCATAGCAGAATTAGGGCAGCATGTTAAGAGATTCAGGAGAAATCTATCAGAGATAGGAGTTGAAGGAAACTGAATTTTGTTGGCCCAGGACAGGTTCCGGTGGTGGGCTTTGGTTAATTCGGTGATGAACCTTCGGGTTCCGTAAGCCATCTAGTTGGCTCACTTCTTAAAGAAAAGCAGCTTCATCTTATTATACCTTAATGAATGATGCATTGATGTAATGAGAAGTTGGGTCTCCATCAATCATATCAAGTGTTACTCTTGTAGAATCATCTGTAAGCAATAAAAATATCATATTTAAGCTATGTTCTTTCTGCCTGAATGATGCAAAAATACATCCTAATGTTCTTACTATGCTGTCATCTCTTCTAAATAAGTTGGAACAGATTACATCATCTGATCTGTTTAACGTAAGAATTGATTCTGGAACAATGAGTCCTGTAAACATTTCTTAGGATTCCTTCAATGGGGGACTGGCCCATCACAAGACAATTACCTACACAAAACAACAGAACACAAAAATATGTGGGCATATATGAACTTGCAATTCTAGTATTCAATCTATAGTAAGCATTTACATAAGACCAGAATGATCAGCACTGTTACTGCACTGTTTATTATTAAGTATCACCCTTCAAGCTACTTGGGTATTTTAATTACTTAATTCTGATGTAACAATGACAATAACCTCAATGTCATTTCACAGTTCTTGTTTTGCATGTTAATATAAGTAATGTGAAATTGTAAGGATTTCCGTAGTTAGTTTTTTATCAAATTAAAAGTTTCAAACGCTTTATTAAGCCTGAAACCAACCAGTCCCTTTGTTATTTCTTGTCATACATTCTGTTCCTTCATGTATGCTCCTTCCTTGTCCGCAAGCCCTAAATAATGCACAAACAAATTTTTTAGTATACTTACATGGCAAGATATTGATGTATCGGTTCTTTCTCCTATTTTCTGGTATCTGTCCATTGAGACAGGAGCTAGACGCAGATATGTCAACGCTCAGTGTTGCTAACAGTTGGTACTCACTGCCTATTCTAGTGGGTGTATCCAGCATTTGAGCACAGTATGCTGGAAACTTTTTTAAAAGAATTGGCTGGGGTCGTACAGTAACTTGCTTAGCCCTTGCAAAAAACTTTGGTGGCCTACAAGAAACAAAGTAAATGTGACAAACAAAGTAAGAAATGCAAGAAACAATATAATATAGGAAGTTCTGTGCTAATACAGGGAGATCCTTTGACAAGGAAAATACAATTCATTCATCAACTGCTAACTCACCTGGAAAGCCACATGCTACGGCTAGTTTTTCAGTTATCTATCTTCATAATGTACTACATAGTGAAATGACAAGTTTGCCCCAAGAACCAAAATACAGTTATCTCTATGTTAACATATCATACTTAGCACTTTACTGATTTCAATTTGTATTTTTCCTCCACAGGTTCATCAATATTTTGACACTGCAAGTGAGTATGTATAATTTGAATCCTGAAGTTCTCACTAATTTACTCCCAATTTCAGTAGGTGTAATAAGTATAGAGAATTTGTAAAGGTAATATGCTAGAAATAAAAATTATTACATCCAAATTTAAAAATAAATACAGTTTAAAGCAAGTGAAATGTTCATTGCAATGAAAACCTCACATTTCATACTTATAAACATACATTTTAACAGTTTATCAAATATTACATATGTTAGGTCAAAATCTTAAAAACCACGGAAACATACTTACCAAACAAGAGTACCTTGACGGTATGTGACAAACACAACTGCCAGTAGTCCCACTACTATGATGGCGAACAGGACACCCACAATCATTCCTACTGGCACTATACATACATAGAAAACAAAATAAATAAATAAATTAAGATAAAAAACTAATTTAAAAGTCATTAATTAATATAATTCAGATAATTAATTATAAAACCCTATATTCTACATAAAGGTGAGAACTGACATCCACTAGAAAACATATGGTATTCATGTCTTTCACATTCATTTCACTTTCAATGACCCAGTATTCCTTATCACATGACAACTCTTGAATTCTTATCACCAGTGCTCTTAGGTACAAATAGTTGGCAGTACATTGAGGTTATGTACAGCAATTTTAACATACTTTGACTATTCTCTTAATATTCTGTAGGAAAGGTGCCAGTGCTGAATACCAAAGCATACTGCCACAAAGACAACACTGCCTATCACAATGGTAAAAATCATCAAGGTAAGCCAGTGAAAGCTGCAGGCTCTTATTCAAAACAATAGTTGTAGTGTTAACTTTTTAATTTACAATGTGATAAAGTGGCAGCTAGTATAATTAAGTAATTAGCATACAAAACTGACACAACACTGCGTTACTGATTCTAACATTATTCTCCCATCTTTGTGCCTGTTTTCCAAGTGGTCAAGTTTTCATATGAATTTGTGAAACCTGTCTTGCCTGCTTCATCATCCTTGATTTGAACACCCTAATAGTATTTAGCATAAAATACAAATTGTGATGTATAAAGTGAAGCTTTCACAGCGAATGAAGTTGATGAAAGACTATCGGGCTATAAACCACATCAGGTGGCTGAACGGTGAATAAACCATAGCAGAAGATAAGGTTTATTCACCACTCAGCCACCTGACATGGCTTGTAACCCGAGAAGCTTTCATCTACAAATTATGATGCTCTTCATTATGAAATTCTTTCCAGCCTCCTGTTACCACCTCATTCTCAGGTCCAAATATTCTCAATGCCCTGTTCTCAAACACCTAGCCATAATTCACCCAGTTACAACTTGGACATAAATGGAATATTTAATCTCTTCGCCCTTAAATCTTAATTTACTTGTAAAATACTGATATTCTGCATTGTTTATTTATTTAATGCTCTGAAATTTCTTGAAACAATTCCATATGTAATATGCAGGAAATCATAATGTAAATGATGCATTGTGCATAACAAGCAAAGTTCAAGCAATGTCTACATTCTGCACTCTCTGCCATCCCAAAATCAATTAACAAATTAGTAACAAATAATACAGTCTAAAAGCTCAAGGGTGTTCTACATAAACTGTCATTCCTGTCTTAACATTCAAAATTGTTTGCAGTTTCTCCCAGTCTCTTGTGCCATGTATCGGAGACTGAATTAACTTCTTGATGATTCAACAGACTGTATGATGTATGGGGGCAGTGTTCCTTTCACATCAGTTCCCAAGTTTTCTTAATATGACATAATGTAAAATAATTGTTTTTGTTTTATAACACAACAGAGCAAGATTACAGTCTATCTAAAGGTTAGGAGAAAGCTATGAACAAAATAAGCTGAACTGCTGAAGTCTTATCACTGTACAACAAAGGAAATTGACCTTTCCTGTTGAGGTATCTAATTCAGAGTTCAAACATGAACCTCAGCAAGAATTCTTCCTCAAAATAACTCACCATCTTCCTCAGTTGTAAGGTATATAATGGAACTGTTCCTGGATGAGCCCCATTGATTTGTAATATATGCCACACAGCTGTAACTAGTAGAAGGTGATAGTTCAACAACATTTACAATAACAGAGTCATTTAGAAATTCCTCTGATGCACCATTTCTAACAGGGAGTCCAGGCATGTCAACTGCAATACACACAACTGTACAGTTCTGAAGCTGACATCTGTTGAAGCTAAGATCAGGTAATGCCCACTTTAAACAGACCATTTCAGTTTCCAAGCATAATGTATCATTATATTCAGGAGCTCCAGTTACTGAAAACAAATAAAAATTCTTATTATAGTTATTATCAAAACAATTATAAGGTATTGATTTTATAATAAAATCAACAATACAGAATATTTTGCACGAGCATTATTACTATTAAGTTTATCTGGTCATTAGGCTGTTGAAACAAAATGAACATAAATAATATACTTAATCATAATCACAATTATTCCTTTACTAACCACACAGAACAATTGTAAGTCACTTAAAGTAAAAGTATCTCTTACCTTCTCCATTTGTTGTACTCAACCTATTTACAGGTTTTGACATATAATTTTGAGAATTAACTGCACTAACAGATACCTCATACTCTACACAAGCACTCAAATCCGGTATATTGTAAACTTCAGTGCTGATCTCTTGTCGAGTATTGCTACTGTCATCTGCAGTGTCTTTCCATTCTAGGTAATAATTTTTTACACAGTATCTATTTACACCTGGTTTCAACCATGTTACTGTTAAATTGTGAGACGTTTGTTCAACAAGTAGATTTTGAACCTCTCCAGGAACTGTAACAAGAAGACTGATATGAACATTTAAACAGGTCATTCTTTACATTTACAATACTGCACATTACTGCTCAGTAAATTCAGTTTCCAGACAAACACACATAAAATGTCAGAGCAGTGGTAAGCACCCCTGCTTCTATTTGTGTTTGAAATTCAGTACACAAGCCTGACATGAAATTTGTGGCTTCTTGCAGCTCCTCCAGACAAATGCTGAGATCGTACTAAATTAAAACAGGCAACAACCACTAACTTCTCAATTCATAACTTACAGCCATCTTCACATCTGACACTATAACCTACATAGTTCAGAAATAATTATGTAAATAAATGAAGAAAGAAAAACTTGATCTTAAATGACACTAAGTGAGTACATTATTTTGTCTGTGCTGCTAACAAAATTATATATTGACCTAAAAGATTTACCACACTTTTCACACCTACTTGTTTAATGCACAACTACTCACCATCAATTTCTGTTCCCACATTCTTTACAGCAGCTGTGTTCTCATCTCTGTCATTCATAGCTCTTACAGAGACTTCATATTCTACACAAGCATCAAGACCATCTATGACAAAGAATTCTTCACTTGTAACGTTCTTGCTGGCACTGTTTCCATTTATATTGTGTTTCCACGATATGACATAATGCTTGACACAGTTACCATCAATAATTGGTTTCTTCCATGTTAAACTAATATTGTGGGAACTTGGTACCAAAGTTAATTCTTCAACTTTGCCAGGCACTGTAAAGCAAAAAATAATGCAGATTAATGAAAATAACACCATTCAAACTTATGATACATCACTGTGGCAGGAGGTAAAGATAAGTCCAGCAAATTAATGGACAATTAAAAATCAAGAATGAAGACGTGAATCATAGATGACACAAGAAAAGCTGACAATGGCAATGAAAGCTATAAGCAAAATGACGTGTAATGTTTTATTGCATTAAGTCTTATAAAACTGACAAGAGGCTTGTAGACATGGCAGACACAGACAGTTGGAGAGTCCTATACAAAAGTTGACCCACAAGTATGGAAATTGACCTTTATATTAATTGCAACTTACCATCTACAACTGTTGTTATATTTTGAACTTCAGCTTCTGAGCTTCCATTATTTGCATTCACAGCTGTAACTGATACTTCATATTCTACACAAGCATCAAGACCATCTATGACAAAGAATTCTTCACTTGTAACGTTCTTGCTGGCAGTGTTTCCATTTATATTGGGTTTCCAGGATATGACATAAAGCTTAACACAGTTAACATCAATAATTGGTTTCTTCCATGTTAAACTAATATTGTGGGAACTTGGTACCAAAGTTAATTCTTCAACTTTGCCAGGCACTGTAAAGCAAAAAATAATGCAGATTAATGAAAATAACACCATTCAAACTTATGATACATCACTGTGGCAGGAGGTAAAGATAAGTCCAGCAAATTAATGGACAATTAAAAATCAAGAATGAAGACGTGAATCATAGATGACACAAGAAAAGCTGACAATGGCAATGAAAGCTATAAGCAAAATGACGTGTAATGTTTTATTGCATTAAGTCTTATAAAACTGACAAGAGGCTTGCAGACATGGCAGACACAGACAGTTGGAGAGTCCTATACAAAAGTTGACCCACAAGTATGGAAATTGACCTTTATATTAATTGCAACTTACCATCTACAACTGTTGTTATATTTTGAACTTCGGCTTCTGAGCTTCCATTATTTGCATTCACAGCTGTAACTGATACTTCATATTCTACACAAGCATCAAGACCATCTATGACAAAGAATTCTTCACTTGTAACGTTCTTGCTGGCACTGTTTCCACTTATATTGGGTTTCCAGGATATGACATAAAGCTCAACACAGTTACCATCAATAATTGGTTTCTTCCATGTTAAACTAATATTGTGGGAACTTGGTACCAAAGTTAATTCTTGAACTTTGCCAGGCACTGTAAAGCAAAAAATAATGCAGATTAATGAAAATAACACCATTCAAACTTATGATACATCACTGTGGCAGGAGGTAAAGATAAGTCCAGCAAATTAATGGACAATTAAAAATCAAGAATGAAGACGTGAATCATAAACACTCATATATTAGATAACACAAGAAAAAACGACAATGAAAGCTATAAGCAAGATGATATGTATGTAATGTGATGTTGCTTTCACAATTAAACTCTCAACTTTTTCTGGTACTGTTAAAAGTAAGAGCAGTGTAAATAATTGAAATGTTGTTATTCGTAATTCAAAGTTGAGCCATTTTATCAGGAATAAGAATAAGACAAATTTCTATAATTTATACATAAACCCAGTGTGCACTTGCTTGGTAATTTCCTGAAAAGAAATAAAATGCAATAATGAAAATCTAAGTTATCAAGTATATGTTAGTGTTGTGACCAACTTGAGAGACAGAGATCATGAAACAAAGTCACTATAATTAGACATTTGAGATTTGAGGTTCTCAAGTATAGACTCCATGTTCATTCATGTTTATAATGTATGGTAAAACACATTCAGTTTACATGATTAAAACAGTTAATTTACTATGACAGTTATATATATATATATATAATATCAATAACAACAATGACCATTCAATTCATTATTTCATCATGCAAACAAAATAGCTATAGGAGCCAAATACAAAGTCAGCACAAGAAAATTAAATAGTAACTTCATAAGAAACAGGATCTCAGCTCTAGTTAAGGAAGAGAATACAGAATGGCATGATCATGGTTGCACATAACTGCATTTTATCATCTGTAAACAAGTAGGAATAAAAGTGGTAAAGAACAAATGATATGAGCAGGTACTAGAGGCATATGAGACAGGTCAACATAATTAAATTACTATATTAAGGAACAAACTAATTACAACAGACAGAACCATACCACACACCATACACAATAATACACTTCAAGACAGAACAACAAACATGTTTCACAAATATGTACTGACTAAAATATAGAGAAATGGAATGTGAAGGTTGAGGTGATGCTGATAATTACTAGTGCAATTGGAAGCTTATCATGATCGTTTAGAAAGCATTTGGAAGACATCCCTGGACAACACTCTAGCAGAGATACACAAAGGACTGCCATTCTGGGAATGCACACATTTTGAGGAAGATATTAATGTAGCACTTTAATAATTTCAAACGTATTTCACAGAAGCTATAATGTAAATAGCATTAGGAGCAGGACCAGCACACTGTGAGGTACTGCTGATGATGATGAAAGTTATTTTTACCTGGTTATTCACAATGGTACATCACATTGACACCTTATTTTCATAACAAAACAATTTTAAAAATGTATACCTTCACATTTCAACAGTTGATTTTAGCATGTAAAATTCACTATTGACATTGTCATATAATGAGAAGGTTGTTCCATTTTGTCAATGAGCTTAGGTAAGGTTGTTGTGGTGGTGATAATACAGAATGTCACAATCTTCAGACAAATATTTTAAAAGGCAGTAATATATTCACAATTATTAAAATTTTCATTTTATAACATACCATCACTTCATCACCTTAAATGATTCTTACCAGAACATAAAGAAGCTGCTGTTAATTCTCTATTAGTTGATACTTCGGTACTCAAAGTTTCATTTACAGAAACATGTGAAATTCCTGATGTAATGTCTGTTGTGCTGTCAGCATATGGGATGGTTGGTTCAGAATTAAATTCATCTTCAGTGTCACTACTGCCAGTTAAATAATTACTTGGTGTTGTAAAGCTTGTTGAACAGATGAGCAAAGAGAAACAAAATGAAACAGATGCAGGGAACATCTTCAAAAATTACTTGTGGCAATGTACACACTCTTTTCAATCCCCATGTGCACCAGCTCCATACATATTAACTCCAAATAAAATGGATGATGGTCCTCTCTGAAACTGAGAGACAGAATAAGATATTTCAGATTAATTGACACTTTGTAATATTTTATATTTGTAAAAGTTTAGGTTCTCATGACAGCAAGAATTCAGATTTTGGTCTCCTGGGTAGTCCTCTTGGTGGCTACTATTTCAGAGCAACATACTGCTTTTATATTTTGGGTAGAAAGTAATAAAGAACAACACACTTATAACCACAACAATATTTTAAAAAAATAACTGGAATGTTCAAAATCTGACATAGTTTGATTAAAAAGTGGGCATTTTTAAGGCTTTACATTAAATACTGCCTGTAAATGCAGATGTAAATAAAGCTTACAAAATCAAAATATACTTATTTGTAGTAGTATGAGGATGGAAAGAGAGGATGGTAAAAGTATACTCAAGACACTAAACAGATAATTTTGAAGACATATTCGTGACAGAAATGTATACAAATCCTGTTAAATCCCAAGTGTCTTACATATTTGCAGTTATATCTACATTTCCATATGAGTAAGTATTGTATGATATTTGGTCATTATTATGTGGCTTAATAATATAAATAAAATATTATGTTGTCTCTCTCTACACAACAAGAAACTGTACAAACCTAATGATGGTCTTCTGGGTTGTAATACCATGAAGACTTGAAGGTAGATACCAATGTTTCATAGACACACACTGTATGAATCAACATACAAATCCACATGGTATTCCAGTTCCTGCCTGCAACATTCTTCATAGTTTAAACAGCATCAATTTAACAAACTGTCATAGAAATATCAGGATTTATCTGTAAATAAATATTCCTGCTTTTGTGATAAAGTTTTGTCTTCACATTTTATTATACTTGAAGTAAACAAACACTACTTTTCTTCATGTGTTTACTATTATTGTACCTAATTTTACATATTCAAAAGCACAGTGCCAGTTCTTTCGTATTATTTTGCATACATTATCCTCCTTTCAAACACAACTGCCATTTAAAGCCACAAAGAATGTTGTAAAGCAAAAATGTTAACACCATATAGATTTGTATGTATACACATATAGTATGTTTGTACAAATGTTGGTATCTATCTGTAATTACACATTACAATCCAGAAGACCAACACTGATAACTTCACTACCACGAGCACCTCAAATCTCACAGAAATTGTACTTTACAAATCAAGAGGGATAGAAACAAGTGAAAAAACACAGTCTTTGTTAACTTTAAGGTATATTAACTACTAATTGCTAAGAGATGCCAGAAAAGTAAGCAAAAGTCTTGAGAAGAAATCTATGTTTCTTTACATTCTTCCACCAGTAAAGAGACATCTGTGGAACTTATATTTTAATAATCATTCAACAAATAACATACCTTTCAGCAAAATGTTTGCTAATGTATGTTTTCACACCCGAAAAACAAGAACTCATGACATCACAGCTTTCAGAATGCACACAAGTTTCATGCATCTTCAACCCTGAAGATGGACATAGCGTATTTCTCTAAAATACTGGTTTCAACCCAGAAGTCCACATAGTGCTACAACCTATAAGACCAGCATCAACAAGTTCCAAGCATATTTATACATACAATTGTAACCCACAACCTATCATACTATATTGCACATGCCCATCAATTATTGCCATGAAACAAAATATCAATATAAATTTTTATGGTTGTCATGCTGTTAATTCAGAATAGCACAATGATGGCCTTAACATGATTCTTTAAATGTCTATCACAGAACAATTTTTGAACTCTCTCTCTAAGACCCAAGATCAGATCATATTTGTCATTGCTTGCATTAAGGAATTAAACAGTATGGACATGTGATTATCAGTTATCTCTTATGATACAATGTTCATAATGTGTTTGAAGAAAAATGGCTACTTCTTTTTCAAGATGTTATTCAAGCCAAATATCACACACATACAGATACTGTTGTACCAGAAACATCGCTTTTCTTGTAACACAAAGGAGATAATTTTGTTTGTATATTGTATCATGTCAACACTTTTACTTTTCAGACATTATCATCTTTAGGAAAAATGTATTTTTAGCACACAAAACATCCCAGTTACCTGAAAGCATGAATATGTATATTTAGTATATTATGTGGTTAAAAAGGGGGAAGCAGTTTTATCACTCCCTTATAAATTTACTATACCTTGATTCCAACTACAATCACTGCCACACCAGAATATGATTAAATCAATTAGTTATGAAGTATTTTAATTTCACTCATAAAGTTGTTTAAAATTAAACTTTTTACTGTAAACTTTGAAAAAAACTAATGAAGTTAAGAGAGAAAGTTTTATGTTATAGTCAAGTTAATCATGTAAACTACACAAAGTGTAAAAGGAATTTGGTAGTGCTCTGTAGATAACAGAAACTGCTCATTCAACTTGATCCAGCTCAACTTAAAAAGATGATATCTAGAAGGAAGTTTAGAAGCCAAGTTATATCCTGCATGGCTTCATGCTATTTCCTGCATGGCATGAAAGACTAAACACAATGAAAGCAAGATGCTCTTGACTCATACAACGCAAGAGCTGGATTAACTTATTATCCACATGCTCAGAATGGTTAGATTAAATATTTGCTTTGCTTGCATACTTCTAGTGTAACATCATTCACATAAGCATCAAGTTTGCTTAGATGGTAAAATAAAATCCTATTAACTTAGAAAAAACATTAAAAGAAATCATTACTACAAAAACAAATAATTATCATCGTCATCATATTCATAAAGTATTAGGCCAAGTGGCCTGTAACGGTTTCATTCCATCTCTTTAACGGTCTTCCCAGGCTTCTCTTTCCTTTCGGTCTGTAGTTCAAAAGTTGGTTTGGGATTCTATTAGAGTCCACTCTTACAAATAATTATAAAAATATAAATATGAAAACAACAATTAAATGATTTTGTGGGTGTTCAATTTTTTCCCACTTTTCCCAGAAGAACATGTAAAGTAGTGACTTTTCATTCTTTAAATGGAATTTGGTCTTATGTGGCCACTGTTTAAGTCTATGTAATATGTACAAGATGTGTAAGTATATATTTATGTACATATGTATATGTGTGTGTTTGTGTACTTGCATGAATGTTAAGTGTTTCTTTACAAACTTCTTACTATGTATTCAAACTCTTTCAAATTTCTACCAAAAATAGGTATCTCTGATTATCTCTGATTACATGGTTTATAAATCCTACATAAATGAGTAAGATATGAATGGCAACTAGTTTCCTTGCTAACTTTATATGACTGTGTACTTTGTAATAATTACAAATTCTGAGCTAACTGTTCTATGGTCAAAGTGAAATACAGGATTTTAATTTATGGTTCAAAAACTTTGGTTTTATATCTGTTTGACTCACAACAGAGACCTGGGCATTATGAAGTTTTCCTCATTCCCTCCTGGCAACTGTTCATTTTCTCCCATTTCATCCTCATGGACTAATGATAATCATCCACTTTACCCTCAGCATTCAAACACTTTTGTAACTGATACAATGTAATTAAATAAGGTACGAAACAGACAAGCAAAGCCCATTTTACTTCCAGTGTAATACTAACCAAAATGAAATTCTTGAATAATACTTGGAACCAACAAAATAAAGTAATCCTATACCTACAGCAGAAATACCTTCAATAATAATATTACTATTTTGCAACAATGGTGATAAGTCATCCCATTCCCAGTGCTACTTCCAAAATAAAATTCTATAGCATTACTAATGTACTGAATTGCTCAGGAAGTTAATGTTGTCCTAGTCTGATATTAATGCACATAAATCCATATCAATATCACTCACAAAGAGAAAGATAAATGTGAATTACATTACTGATAAGAAAACCCTGCTCTAACTTAGACAAATTTAGATACTTTTCATGTCTGATCAATATACCTTTTAGAAAAGTCCCTTTGACAGGACCCCTGACTGTATGTTATGCCCTAAATTGCTCAAAGTTAGTGATGATAAGTACTATGTATTTTGAGTTTTTGGGAAATTCCACTGTATTGTGGAGGGCTGGTTTGTCACTGCTTCAAAGAAATTATGGCAGTTCTCTACCTTGAAGGAGAAATGACTGGCGGCAGATTTATTCCCCACATTTATAGTTACTGCATATTCCATAATGGGCAGCTACATTATTTGTACAGTTCACCAAATATTATGATAATCAAACCAATGAGTTACATTTGGGTCGGATATGTAGCATGCAAGGAAAAAATTAGACAAGTATACAAAATTTGGTGAAAAAGCCTGCAGGAAAAAGACCACTTGAAAGATCTAGGAATAAATCACAATACTATCAGAGAGGGTATGTAGGTTTGAACTGGAATCATCTGACATGGGACAGAGAATGGTGGCAGGTTCTTACAAATATAGTAATGAACCAAAATGGATTTCTTGACCATTTGAACAAGTTTTGTCTTATCAAAAAGGGTTTCTTTATAGTTTTATAAGCAAGTAACTAATATCATGGAGCAAAGGCTTTCTTGAGCACCTGACAATATTCTCATTAGTTTTATAAGTACTGTTCACATATTTACATCTTGCCCTATGCTGACTACATTATAATTAGTAACTGTCCAGAGAATTACTGACCTATCACTATTTTCTCACCTATCTTCCTTCTAAAGGGAAGGCAGGCTATGGGATCATATTCGTGAATGTGTATCCCCCTTTCTTTTCCTATCCTACCTAAGCATACTAACCACACTAACATTCCTAACATGAACGTTGCTGTCATGTTGGTATTCTTGATGATAGGGAATTAAAAATGGTTTAATGTCCCTACCAAATATAATTAAAATCTGTCAATTGGAGGGAAGGAATATTCATGAAGATTTCTGTCTTCTGGGTTGTTGCGCTGTGCAGTCTGGTTGATGTTAACCAACGTTTCAGAGGTCATACTGCCTCTGTCATCAGGGCGCCCTGATGACGGAGGCAGTATGACCTCTGAAACGTTGGTTAACATCAACCAGACTGCACAGCGCAACAACCCAGAAGACAGAAATCTTCATGAATATTCCTTCCCTCCAATTGACAGATTTTAATTATATTTGGTAGGGACATTAAACCATTTTTAATTCCCTATCATCAAGAATACCAACATGACAGCAACGTGTACTTTTGAGGTAAAGCAATGCTGGAGCTACTTAAAAGCACAGTAAAAGATTTTTATTAACATATTTTTCTTTTGGAATCTAAAGTAACATGGTAGCTGCCTGAAATTTATATGCAACTTCCTGTTTGGCAGCAGTAAATAGCAAACAACTGGAGCTAGAAATGAAAGTCTGGAATCAAAATATATAATTACTTTATATTAACTTTCAAACATAATGTAGCAATATTTTAAGGTCATGTCTGACAACTTTCATACGTGATGCCATACCATTATGTTAGACACAATGTCACTTAAAACCATCAAAATAGTCTTAGTTATATTTTGACATTTTTAAGTGGCATTATGTCTAACAGAATGTATAATGTACAATATATAATGTGTAATAACTGAGGAGCACAGAAAAAATTACTCAGTTGTGAATTATGAACTTATTAATTGTCTAGATTCTCTATTTCAATGGAAGCATTTAATGAAAAATTAGGTCAAGTTTTCTTCAGCACTTCTTGTTACCACATAAAACTTTCATACCGCACCATGAACAGTTTGTGAAATGTTAGTCAACTCACAATAAACAGCATAATACAAAGTGTCTTGCTCATATGAAGGGAAGGGGGAAACAATTCTTCTCCCAGAACCTTGTATATATCCTACTTCCCAAATATGTTATCAAAGTTAATTTAAAAAATTATGCCAAAAATTATGGAAAGGTTATTTCATTCAGATAGTCACATATTTAGTTCACCATGTATATCCAGTAAGCATTTTTGTTTTTGCACACTATATACATGTTTTCCCTTTTTTACAGCCTTTTTCTCATTCATACACACCTTATCAATCCAAGATTACTTGTTATAAGTAGAACTGTATGACATACATCACTAAACCTGGTAAAAAGATAATCATCTACAGATAAAATTATCAATACAGAAGTGAACTGTGTTTCTTACAGCTATTTCTGTCATTTATAAACATGCATAACGTATTAACGTCTACAGGAGTCCTTCCATAACTTTCTTCAAAAGCAATGCTATAAGAAATGACAATAATAAATCAAAGTTGTCCTTGGAAAGAAATTAAGAGTAGATTAAATTCAGGAAATGCTTGTTACCATGCAGCTCATTCCTTCATCTTCCTGTTTGCTATCTAAAAACATAACCAACTAATCCAAATCCACAGACCACAGCCCTTGCTCAGAAGTTAATCATTGCTCAGCTTCTCTAGCAAAAGCAAAGATATAACATACCTTAACCTGCAGTTTTGTATGGTTGTGAACATTCTCTCTCACGTGAAGGTAATAACAGAAAGAGAAAATTTTAAGAACAGGTTGATGAGAATATTTTGACCTAAAAAGAATTGAGGAAACTGAATAATGATTTTCATAATTCATAACCTTTATCAAATATTATTAGGGTGATCAAATGAAGGATGAGATGGGCAGGGCATATAGCACACATGAAAACGGTGAGGAATGTGTCCTAAATTTTGGCTTGAATACCTTAAGGGAAGGGACCAATTATAAGACCTGGTTTCAGGTGTAAATACAATATTAAACTGTAATGATATAGAGGGTTTGAATGGATTCATCAGGCTCATGATATAGACTGGCAGCAGGCTGTCATGAACACAGAAATGAATATTCAGTTTCCATGAAAGTTTCAGAATAGCTGAGTGACTATTATCTTCTCAAGAACTCTGCTGCATGGAGTTACCTGAATATAGCATCAACATTACCACAGATATATATCTTTGATTACAAACCATCCTCATATTCTTCTGTGTTTATTTCAAAAGAATGTCTTTACATCTAAACTGCCATACAGAAATTAATGAAAAAACCAGCTAACATCACACGAGACACTTATAAAATCTAAAACTGCAGACTTCCTCTTTTTAACTAATGTCAAGATGTTGAATAAGACACAATTTGATGAAATACAAGAGGAGCCCAGTTGGTTTCTCAATGTGAAAGATTAAAAATGTAATAATATTTATAACAGTGAAGCTTCACACAATGTCAAAATACAATAAGGTATGTTGCCAAACTAATAATATGTGAATAACATGAAGTTTTCTGCATTGTAAACCTAAGTTACATTCCTGGATGAAGAAGAAACTGAAAAATGCAAGAACAGCAAGAAATCACTGGCTATATGTTCATGGTGTAAAAAATTGTGTTCCCATTACAATTATGATGATTACCATACATAATTCAGCAAGCCTGTCACCTTAGGCTGTTGTGTCTAAAACAATATTGACAGTGTGTAAAGCTTCACTGTTGTCAAATGTTTGAGTATTTTCAATCTTTCATGTTGAGAAACCAACTATGTTCTCATCCTTGGATATGAATAAAGAAAGAAAGAAAACAAAATTTTATGGCCTCCAGAGCCATTACAGGTATGGTGATTAAGAAAACTGGATATCAAACCCACGCTGCCTGCACCACACGCACATAAACATGCTTTCACAATCAATAAAAGGAGGCCTCTTTTACAAACTTATGAAGCAACAGTAAAGAACATGAAAAGTAAAGCTGTATATTACAAAGAAATACTGGAGTTGATACATAATATTTTTGCCAGGATGTCAGAGGAAGACTATTATCACTATCACAAAATTGGAGCCAAATTGGAAGGTAACAATCAACTGGGTTCCCTTGCCAGAGTAAATTGAACACAAAATGTTAACCTATTTGAAGTGTTAATCCCAAAATGTCAAGGGTTCAAATTCTGAAGAATATTTCACTTTATGCCGGAAGGTTCCATTCAATTCAGATAACCTACAATGCCATATTGACTGGACAGGTTATGTGTAGCATAGGATGATACATATCGCAATTTGGAGTGAACACTCCTAGCTCTGCCTGGTGGGACATGGTAAAATAACAAAAACCAGTCTGAACAGCCGCTGTGTGTCTGAAAAGCCTCCATCCTGAATTCAGACCCTATAGCTCTGAAGTGTAAATCAGGTGACACCACTGAGATAACAGATGTTACTTACTTTTGTGGTGATCTGGGTATTAAAACATGCCCTTATCAAATTAAATTTGAAAATTATATCTCTGAGAGCTTTGAATATAGACTTCAAAAACTGAACTACTTTCTACCTTTACTCAAGCCATGCTTTCAGCACAAGTAACATTAAAACTGTCAGTGAATATAATTAAAGGTAAGATATTGTAATAAAAATTACTCTACATACATGACACCTGCTTTAATGTATTTATGGATTCAATAAATACTTAACTGGTGGAAGATCACATACTGATTCACTCATTTTAATATGATCTTAATGCACCCTAAAACATATTCAGTTAAATAACATTAACTCACCATGCCACAACAAATTATTCCATATAAAATATTGCCACTTCTTAAGTTGAGTCTTGATTTCTTATTATTTTGTCACAATTGTTCAGTGGCTTGTAGGAAATAGTGTTCAGCTTTCCTGGTTGTTCAACATAATTCACTTGATTGATGCAAGTCTAGTAGCACGTTTTATAAGAACTTGTTCACTCACAGAACAAACTCACCAAAGTCAGCTACCTGCAAACAGTCTACATGATTCACATACAATATGAACACAAATGTTTCTATAGCCAACTGGGATGTGCATTTAGGGTGAGGTCCAGCTATAGTCATGGTCTGGCTCTGACTACACAAGTTTTATCAGAAGGAAATGATAACAACACAGGCTCTACCAGGGAGGGAAGGGGAGGGGGACAGGAGAAGTGATAGCAATTGCATAAAATGGAAGGAATGAAACATGTATCTTATTTGAACAAATACTAAAGTCGCTGTTCTTTGCTCAAGGAGTATCTAGGGGAATTTATTTGTAATATTTTATGATAAGGGACTCTGTTACAGAAAGTTGTAACAAGGAAAATCACATTTATAAATTCAGTTACACTCAAACATTTGCACAGTCTTATAATTAAGTACTTTTGCGCATCACACTTACACCTAAACACAATCAAAATTGCCTGTAACTGGAAAACTTATTAGATATATCACAATAAAAAAAATAGTCATCACATGAAACTTTGTTTTGTTTGAAAGCATGTTTGATATAATAAATATTTTGCAAAATACAAGGAAAATAATTTACAACTTGCAGTGTAAAAAGCTTATATCTATATTAAATAAACATCAATGGCAATAAGGTAAACAAAATCACAAATGAACATTCTGTACACCTTATTTTGTTCTCTCTTACTCACAGCCATCCCTTCTAAAAATTGGTTGAACATTTACAAGGATTTAAAACAACAGATTTTTCTACTTAGCTCTGATACAAAATAACGTTGGAAGTTGGTATAGTAACAATAAATAACTTAAAATCAGTCAACCACTTTAGTTAAACAGTTGAGAAAAAAGAAAACTGTCTTTTGAGCTTCATGCATATTTTGTACACTTCAGTTTTGTTATTGAGCTTACAAGCACCTTATACTTCCACTCATTACATAGTTTAAAGTTTCATTAGGTTTCAAAATGTTACCACCTTATTGGCTAATTTCATTGCAGCACAAAAATGCAACTTATGTTGTATCTTTTAATGATACTCATTATATATCTAAGTGTGATTCATGGCAGTCAGGGAATTTTTCACTTTGCCATCACATCCAGACTGGCTCTAGAGCCCACCAAGCCTCCTATCCAATGGGTATTGGG